ATCTACGTGCAGGACGAACACGGATTGCTGTATCGGCGGATCCAGAAGGACAAGGACAGCTGTAAAATACAGCTCATCATCCCAAAGTCCCTGGTATTACAAACCATACAGCACTTCCATTGGAGGACCCAGGATCGACACCATGGACGGCTAAAGACCCTCCTTTGAATCCTGGACGTTACCTGGTGGCCCACGTTCCTCAGAGACGTCTGGAGGGTTGTTTTGGCCTGCAAGTCGTGTGGTGTGATCGGCAGATCCAGAAGGACAAGGACAGCTGTAAGATACAGCTCATCATCCCAAAGTCCCTGGTATTACAAACCATACAGCACTTCCATCGGAGGACCCAGGATCGACACCATGGACGGCTAAAGACCCTCCTTCGAATCCTGGACGTTACCTGGTGGCCCACGATCCGCGGAGACGTCTGGAGGGTTGTTGGGGCCTGCAAGTCGTGTGGTGTGGAGACCAAGGAGTGTGTCGTCATCGCCCCTAACCAGAAACCACCTCACCGTTCATCCATCAAAAAGACCCCCAAGCCGGTTTGGAGGAAACGCCAGGGGGGCAGGCCGACCAGCGTGGCTGGGTGCAACGTCATCCTGGGAGGATCGGTGCCACCTACCTTAGGACACCCAGGCTGGTATGGGACTCAACCTCTCTCTAGTGTTCGCCTAAATTCCTCCGGCAGACTAGAGCCTGTGTGGCAAAGCCTAGTTTTACCTTATTTATTACAAAGACATTTTAAATCACACATTCAAGAGGACACCTACCACAGGGACAATGGCTGACACGACCTTAAAGGCTAGTTCCTTCCCCCGGGAGTCATAGACTAAGGGGGTGGACTATGTGACACTGCCACACAAAGACACGTTTTTACCGCTCAATATATATTAAGATGGTTTTTGTATCTATATATTTGAGTTTTAATGGTTTTACATGTTGTCTTAGCCATTTTAATCCTCTTAATTATTTGATGTGTGTATGTCTTTAAAATGTTCATGGGTCTGCCTGTCATGTGGTCAATCACATGACAGGAATAAGGAAGTAAACCAGTACAAAGCAAGCAGCATGTCAAACAATCAGGGTCATTGACCAAACAACTACTCGCTGGATTGTGGAGTTGTTCATGGATTTACCATTCCAGTATCTCACTCATTTTGGATTATCACTTTCTTTGGATTGTATATACACTGGTGGACACTTTTACCTTGGGACTTCAACACACTGGGATTCTTAAGGACTGTTTTAGGGTACGATTTAAATGGACAATCTGCTTTATACAGGCTAAGTTATTCTAGTTTTATTGTGTTGTTTTAAGTTCCTTGTGCATTATGTAAATAATACACTATTTATTCATTCTACTTTTGTTGTTGTCTCATGTTTTTAAAGCACTTATTTTATCTCACACAGTTTAATCTGACCCCATTTTAAATCCATGTAATTCGGCCGATAAAACCGAGCGTTACAAGATAACGCATGGATGGTAGTGAACTTTTTAGGTGAAATAGGCATTTTATTACTTTGCTATTCAGTTCAACAGGGTTTATAGAACTCTTCAAAGCAAAATAGGCATTATTTGGTTTTTTGGTTATTTAATAAATGGGCAGTAGCAATTCTAAGTACTTTTGTGCAGCAGTATGCATTCAGATCGCAATGTTAGCAAATTTTATAGCATGCATAGCAATAATATTAGCAGCAGCATGCATAGCAAGTCATTATTATGGCTAATATAGCAGCGGCAGCAGAAAGCGCTTTAGTTGCATAAAATTTTAGTGATAATTCATGGAGAGTAAATTAACTCTTTAAAGTGCAATATGTATTTATTACCGGCGGTACTTTGCTAATTCAACAGGGCTAGCAGGTTTCGTGCAGCAGCTGTGGATTATGCTTCGCAAATTCTGATTAATATTACAACCGCAACATTTGCGTTGAAAAAAAAATGTTTCTGAAAGTAATTTTCAGATGCAACGGGGGAAAAAAACGGGATAAAAACAAACTTGAAACTTGTAAATAAAATAATCTGATATATAGCCTATGTACAATTTAATAACATATAACCTAGTTTGATATATGAATTGGGTGTTCGTCAAAGATTGCATGCGGTCGGAGATTCCCGTGTTTACAGCTCCATAAAATAACCTACTGGAAGCTCTGTAGTTTTGCTGTATAGGCCTATAGATAAAAAAATATTAAAATTACAAACACACAACATTTTGAGTTACTTCCATTTCTGAAAAAAAGAATGTAGGCTGCAAACATTATTGTTCTTAATATGCAATATAAATATTTTAAATTATCAAAATAAATGAGCAGCTGCTTCGGAGGCAGAATTAGTCCTGGGCACATGACACCACAACTACATGGTGTACAGTAATTTATTCTTTCGCCAAATATTTTGTTAGCTTATTAATAAGTTAAAGGTAAGTATTTCCACTGCAGTAACAATGATGAACGTTAATGAGAAAAAAAAAAAAATCAATTGACAACTCTTGAATGACAAATTTAAAACTATTTGCTCAGGCCGCCCGAGCCTGAGCCAGGTGTTACTTCATCTATCAGCCTACAGGGTGATTCCTGCTTGTTAATAACACACATAGTGCGCGTTTCTATCTAGGTAAGTTTGAGTTATTGGCTCAGACACGCATAGTTATTTAGGTCATTAGTTAAATAAACCTAAGGGTACAGCACCCAGGTTCACATCGTTAAGCAAT